GACCATTCATTTTGGTAATATGTAGGCACTGAGGACAGGCAGAGTTGTGGCCCTGGAAGATCACATTGGATGGTCCAGGTGCTCAAGATGTCATAGCTCTGTAAGTGGGACTTCCCTGGGAGAGAAGTCAAGTGGAGAATTTCGCCCAGTATGTGAGCACAGGCTGCATTGAGGGTTAGCTTTGTGCAGCACAACAAATGAACTACATGTGGCCGAAATTATGCATTTTTTTCTCCATTTATCAGCACAGCATTAAATAAATTACTGTTGCTGTCAAAGCTCAATGAAGCTAAGATCTCACCCTTACAGATTCAGCTATGGTATTCACCAGGAATTGGGGAGGACAGGAAAGGAGGGAGTTGTTCCACAAAAATGCCTTCCCCACATGTTTTCCCAGACCCCAGGGTTTCACACAAAGCAGAGCAAATCACACCCTTAGCAGTTCTGTTCAGTTCCATACAGCTGTATGCTGCAGGTGGTGCCCTAAAAATGTGTTTGCTTATTTTGCAGCACTGCAGGCTGCAAAGCTGCACGTAAGAATGAAATAGATTCCCCTCCCTTGCATTCTCCCTTCGTCACTCTGAACCCCTCTCTCTTTTTAACTTGCTGGAAGAAGATTGTAAGACATGGAGATAAAGTGATAGCAATGCATCTCAGTCTCAAAAGAACTAAATGGAAGGTATTGGTATGGAGCATAGAGTAAAAACTGACAAGCATGGTGTGTGGCACTGAGATTTTGGTGGTGTACCACTTCAGAGAGGCAGCTACTACAATAATGGAGTGAAAAATCAGTGGAAGTTTTTCAAAATAGATTTCCGTGAACATGAAAAAAAATCAGGCAGTGGCTGAGCAAGAAGGAATGTGCTGACACGGGAATAGCTACAAGACAGACATAAATGTGCATTACATGGTCATTTTTTATCTCTGTGATACAAGGACTGATTTACTGATAGGCTCTACAGAGGCTGCAGTCTTCCACCACCATCACCTAATGCCCTAAGTGCCCTGTGTCATGGGACAAAGGAGCAGTTGTGGCTGCTTTGCAGCCCTTGTTATCACTGTGGGTTATTCCAACCCTGCTTTGCATACATAAATGCTAACTAAACACATTGGGATAATCCTTGTTTTACCAGAGCATTTTCTTGCACACATTAGTTCTCAAATCATTTTTCCCCATTTTGGGAACCATGAGCATCCATCTAGTTAAAGTATAGAGACCACCAAACTGAATTTTCTGTTGCTTCTTCAGCATGAGCTAAACTAGCAATTTTGTCTATTGTTTGTTTATCCTGAGCAAAATCCGCTCCTTAGGAGAAGCTGGCAAAATGTCTGTGCATTATCACATCTGTCCCTCTTTAGTCTCTAAGGCCAATATTATACAATGAACACAACCACTCTGCTCACTGGAGACTCTTCTGACATTTGGGATCATTTAACCTTTCAGTTGCTTTAATTACTACTTTGTTTAAGCAGTAGAAGAAATGAAAATGATCTAAAATTTCACTCTTAAAAAACTAAAATCTGTGTTGACTTGCACAAAATTAACAGCAGCATTTGTATGGTTCACAATCTGGCACTGCTTGCTTCTAGGCCACTTCCCTCTGGGGAGAGAAGGTCTCTTGGAGCCTATGAGTATTCTACACCTCCTCAGCAGAGTATCTGTCTGCAGTTCTTGAAATATTCCACAGCCCACCTTGAGACTTGCTTTTTAGAAAGTATAAAGCATGGGTGTTTTATAGCTTTTTCTCTTAGCTGTCATATTCTTTCCACAAAGTAATCCACAGCAAATACCACATCTATGTGAAGCCTAACCTTCTGTACCTGGATTCCTTGTGCATTTACTGGCAAGCTGTACAAAATTCACTAAGTATAATGTTTTCAAAGGCTGATGTAAGTGGTCCTCAATGAAGCTGAATGTCTTTGCAACTTTTTATCTGTAGGCAGTAGAAAACACCCTTAAAAACATGCTGCGGTGCCACCAGCCCATGAAAAAGCCAAGATCAACATTAGCTTGATCATTGTCATGAACATATAGAAATACAAATAGGAAACAAGTAACCAATTTGTAGGTTGCAATTTATAGTTTTACAGTTAAAGTGCAAGATCCACTTAAGTGCCCATGAAAGAAAATTGAAAGTAAAGATTAATTTCTTTCTATTAACTGGAGATGAATCTGATCTAAGGCATGGGTATGTTGAAAGCAAGTTTGCTGAAATCCAAGCAATATTTGCACTCCTAACTTTGTGTTATATGTCACTGAACAGTACCAGGTAATTCCTCTGTTTCTCCCCACATTTAATATGATAGAGAATTAATACTAGCATTTCTATTTGAAAAGAAGCCCATGCCCACAAATGGAAATGTGAAAATGATGTAAACAGTAAGGTTGCAAGCACCAGGCTTGAAAAATTGACCCACACTTATGCTGTGTAGCTCTTTACCTGTGATAATCACATTACAGTAACATGAATGGAAATAGAAAAACAGCTGTAGTTAGTTACAGCTAGTGTTACCAATGGCTTGTTATTCTGAACCATTCCCCTGGCTTGCAAAGAATGACCTCATCCAGAAACACAGCTCTGTTTAGGCACAGACACGCAAAACCCCTTGTTGCATCAGGATTGAACTACATATTCCTCGAGTTTCTTGTTCATCATTCCTTACATACAAAAAATAAGGCAGAAAAATAAGCCTGGATATCTCCTTTGGAGGGCTTGAGGGTAGAAAGGCTCTACAGAGGGATCTGGACAGGCTGGACCAATGGGCTGAGGCCAAGTGTTGGGCCACAGGCTTGGGGAAGAGTGGCTGGAAAGCTGAGCAGTGGAAAAGGACCTGGGGATATTGGTCGACAGCCAGCTGAATATGAGCCAGCAGTGTGCCCAGGTGGCCAAGAAGGCCAATGGCATCCTGGCTTGTATCAGAAATAGTGTGGCCAGCAGGACCAGGGAAGTGATCGTCCACCTGTACTCGGCACTGGTGAGGCCCCACCTCAAATACTGTGTTCAGTTTTGGGCCCCTCACTATAAGAAAGACATTGAGGCACTGGAGCATGTCCAGAGAAGGGCAAGGAAGCTGGTGAGGGTTCTGGAGCATAAGTCTTATGAGGAGTGGCTGAGGGAACCGGAGTTGTTTAGCCTGGAGAAAAGGAGGTTGAGGGGAGACCTTATTGCGCTCTAGAACTGCCTGAAAGGAGGCTGTAGCGAGGTGGGTGTTGGTCTCCTCTCCCAAGTAACAAGTGATAGAACAAGAAGAAATGGCCTCAAGTCATGCCAGGGGAGGTTTAGATTGGATAATAGGAAAAATTTCTTCACTGAAAGGGTTATCAGGCACTGGAACAGGTTGCCTGGGAAGTGGTTGAGTCACCATCCTTGGGGGTATTTAAAAGACATCTAGATGTATTGCTTAGGGACATGGTTTAGTAGTGGACTTGGCAGTGTTAGGTTTATGGTTGGACTTGATGATCTTAAGGGTCTTTTCTAACCTAAATTATTCTATGATTCTATGAGTTAAGCTTGAGTGATAACAATTGCTTGTAAATAAAATTTAAAGCTATTTTACTCCCATTTACTTATTCATGCTGCTTTTGTTGCACTTTTCTCTTTGTCTCTTTTACACTAGCTGTAGCTTGTCAAAATTGCAGGTGTGAACTATCTGGAGAAAGGGCTGCTTTTGTCCTCCAGACCTATGTAGTGCCTGCCTTGCTACTTTCTTGGTTAGGGTCCCTTTGCTCTGCTACCACATGATGAGCTGAGGACCATGGGGAAGACCTGGGATGCTCTACTGAAGGGAGGTAGCTGGGCTTTCAGGTGAATCAGCCACCAACCGCTTAGATGCAGAGCCCACACAGCTATGTATTGACACAGAGGTATATTGTCCCAAGCTCACCTGGCGCTTGGCCGTTTACAGCTAGGCTGGGAAATAGACAGATGGAAAAGCTGCTCACTGAGTGCCACATTATATATTGCTGTAGTTATTACATAATGCTGTAGCTGTACATATATTGTGGACTATCCAACTGCCTGACATTAACTTCTGGATCTGGCTAACCAGATTTTCACTCTCTTTTGCCAGTATGGTCCCTCTTTGGACAAAACATTGTAATCTCTTGACCAAAAAATGTATATAGAGGGAGTCATGTACCCAGGTACTGGTCCAAATTTAGATGCATGGTAATAGTTTTATTTGCAGTCATATATACCTCCACCTGGGCATAAACATGTTTGTATCACTAGAGCAAACATAAAAATGCAGATTGCCTTTCAATGTAATTAATTCAGTGTTTATGTCATCTTTTCACCTAGGTCAGAGACAGCACAAGGCAAAATTATTAGTACAGGTAAATATGGTTGAAAAACCTATCAGTTTTCCCCCAAACAAGCTGTTTTAATTCCTTATAAATTTTCTGCAGTGTAACAGTGGGTTCTTATCTTCCTAAAAAGATTTAAGATTTCTGGTTTTGATTTTTATGTAAGTACAACATTTTGTTCTTTTGGGAAGAACCTTTCCCATTTGCCTCAAATGCATATATTGACTAATATGGTTAAAGACAAATCGATCAGTTCTGAGTCCTGTGAATTGATCAGTGAATCTGTTTTTACTGTTGAAAATTTATCCTTCATTTTGGCTTTTCTATTATATTCAAATTTGGCTTTCACAGCAATAGCCGTAACTTCTTATTATGTCACATCTTACGTCCTGCATTGTAATTTGAATGTAACCTGCTATAAAGGAATTCTGGCATGGTCAGCGGTCAAAGTGGAGGTCAGGAAAACAGTGTGTGTAATGTTGGCAGTTCTCACAGCAGTAAGCATGTATGTTGGAGCTTTGAGTGTGCAGGTGTCTTGAACTAGCTGCAAGACAAGAGAGTTTCATAACAAAACTAACACTTAGAGCCAGGGTTTGTGAATGAGTGCCACAATACTCCACTATTCTGGTAACGACGTTCTGCAAGAAGAAATCCTGAAAAGGTGGTGGAAGTGAAGCTATCTGTAAACACTTACTGCAAGGAAGATCTGAAGAGAGCTGTGAGCCACTTCTATGTACTGATATTCAAGAAAACACCCCGAGACAGTGATATAACGATGATCCTCTGGTGCCCAGTCTGGGGCTGGGGTTACTGAGGTCACGGTGCAGCCCGGCCCATTCTCCATCCACCAAGAACGATGCATTGAGATATTAAAGGTCAGAATGAGATCTGTTTCCTGCAAAAGAACAAGTGAAGAATTAATGCGCTGGGTTGGTACTTCGATATCAAATGCCTCAGCAAGAGATTTCTCAGGATGCATAGAGAAGTAAAGAGCAGCGACAAAATTGTACTGTCACATGAAAGTTGGTGGAGCTTGCCTGCAGCAAGCACAGGTAGCTGTACCTTGGCAGGCAGAATTGCTTTGGAGCAGAAGAATAATCCTGCAGGCCAGGATCTCTTCCTAGGCATTATGGTAGCCCAGGCTATAGCAGTCATTTCTGTTACATTGCCCATTTTCCTGCGGAAACCATATAGACTGATGGACATGCTACATTTACACAGCAACCCTCCTCTGCTCAGTTCCTAGAAATATGGCCCATATTTTGGTGATCTGATGTACTAAACTGCACAAGAGTCCTCAGGAGCCAAGGCTTCATAGACTTTAATATATGCGGGTCATCTGCAAGGAGTTTTGTCTCATGGACCCTGTGAAGCAGGCCTGTGGTGGCTCTACTGAAATATTGGAGAAGATGTAAAAATATGATTCTGTACATTTGCTTACAAGCTAAACCTCTTTGTAATACCTCTCGCAGATTTCTAACTTCCTAGGAGTCTGTAAGGAAACAGCTACTGAGCATTGCCTTGTCTAAAGACTGCTTAGCTTGTTAAAAAGGAGGGGCAGAGGCCTGCAACCTTTAACTCCCATGCAATGGAGGAACTAGTCAGCCATGCTTTCCATTAAGATTGCATTTATAAATAGTTCATAAAGGATTAATAAATGATTAATATACATCATAAACAATACTACGGATATGACTTTCATAAATTATACTTGGTTGCACATTACTTGAGGGTGTTATACATAGTTATAACAAAACTATGGACTTTGCGGATTCTGTAATAGCCTACAGTGTTTACCAACCCTTTATAAATAATTTATGAGTGTAACCTCATTGTAAAGTGTGACTATCTAGTCTGTGTGCACATGTGCTCAGTCAAGCAAAAAAAAATTGCTTTTAAGTAATGTCTTTGCAGAGCCAAACTCTCCCCACACCTAACCTACATTTTTTTCAGCCTGTTGATGACATTAATAATTAAGATTCTCATAAAGATTTTAAAATATAACTATTTAATTAGGTTTAATGTGCCAAAAGGAATAGAATGCCATTCTGTAGCAGATAGGTTGTGTCCACATTTCCCTCCCTTCAAAAGTAGTAGTTTTTTCAGTCCCACTTATTTTCTCTTTTTGCACTAATTCATGCAAAGGTAACTCCATCCAGAGAGGCTTTGGATAATGTCCTGACTGACACGTCAGTTGACCTGTGATTGCACTTGACACTATAGTGTAGCTGAATGTTTTTTTTTTCTTTAAGTTGCAGTTCTTGTCTAGAAGTGCAGAAAATTTGTGCATTTTAAAAAAATCAATTACTACACTGCATAAGCCCACACAGCTATCAGATGGCAGGAAGGACCATAAATATTTTTATGATGAATCATTACTCTACATTCTCACAACAGCCCAATCAAGCAAATAATAAGCTGTATGAGAAAACGTATGATGCTTCACTTGAGTTTAGGCATGCAACTAACTTTAGGCATTTGAAGGTGATCAAAGCAACAGTGAACATCTGTATAAAATATGCAGATTTCCCCAAAATAGATATTTTTACCTACAGCTGTATGTCTTCACCCCCAACAAACCTCTCCTTTCTCTGGACCCCTCCCTACCAAAGCTGCAGACACTGGAAGTGTCTTCCAGATGTTTCTGGGAAGTGGGCATTTTTACTTTGCATCCAAGCCAGAATACTATTTTTCTATTTGGAGTCAGGGCTGTCACAGCCTCTCAGTAGCCCACTGGCTTTCTCACGTGGTGTAAGAATGAGTATCTTTGGAATAACTTTGCTTAAAGCAATAGATTTATTCCTGAATGACTAAAATTGGAATCCATCATGTTATTGTCAGAAGACCTTTAAGCCATTCTAGTTACCATGGAAAATGCTTAACCCCTAGTCTCTTAGAGATGTAACATGAATGAATAGGACTCATTGTCTGGCTCTATTTTGTCATTTGCAATACCTTCAGAAGAATCATGATGGGCTAAAAATATTTTACAAAGTGCAGACAAGGGATGAAAAATGTATTCCTTGAGAAAGAAAGGGATAAACGGGCTTGCAGGGACTGAGTATTTGTTATGCATCTGCCGGATGAAGTTAAAAAGGATCAGGAGGAGCTAAACATAAAAATCAAAACTGGGCTCTGTGGTTAGAACATAATTGCCCTAGAGATAGTTATGTTTCCTTACAAAGGGTGCAGTAATCCAAAACTTTATAGGTTAAAATCACAAGTAAATTTCTAAGTTACATGGGAAATATAACCACCCATTAAAATATTAATAATTACATATGTAAATAAAATTTCACAACGTCCAACTTTCTTCCATCCCTGAATTTATCCCCAGATGATTTTCTGAAATAATTTGTTATATTTAGAAAATTCCCTTGCCCGCAAATCATCTTTTGGCAGTTGAGTGCTGTGATTAGGACTAAATAACCTGGTTTTGTTCAGGGATAGTCTTTTAGTACTTACCAGTAAAAATAACAATTTTTTGTCAGATCTATATTCTATTTCTATCTCTGAGTAATCAGTAAAATGCTGTGTCGTTTCCTCTGCTCATAAAATAGACCTGATACCTGTCACAGAAATGTAATATTCCTTAATTCTTTGTAATAGTAAAACCAAATAAAACTTACTGAAAGCTCCAACTTCAGATTTTCAAGAACTTTGAATAACGTGGTTAAGAAGGCTTTCAAGGAGCGTAGCTATTCTGTATTGCACCCGTTAACAAACAAGGTCAACTTCAGAAAGCAAAACAATAAGCAGATGTGAAATCTGGTTCTGGTAAGATGAGACATCATCCATGGCTTAGGTCAAACTTGGTTGGAATAACAATGATAATGAAATTAGATTTTGACAAACCAAGATATAAGTTAGACCCTGTAAATTCCTATCCCCAAAATATGTGAGATAAGAACGAATACAGAAGGAGTCTGGTCACTACAAAGTCAGCTTCTGCACAGTTAAATCTTCTCAGGTATAAATTGTTATGGGCTTTGAACTTGCCTATAACCTTCAAACCATGTCCCCCTCTATGTAACTGTATTAGCAGAGCAGTTCCTGTTGCTTAGTAGTGAAGGTCACCCAGCTTACGAAAAAATTTACTTCTTAGTGAGAAAACTGTTAAGGACTTGAATCTCCTTGTAGAACTGTGTAAGCCAAGGAAGGGATGACGTATCTATCATTAACATTGCTTATACTGAAAATATTTAGAGCTATTTTTGGGCAAACTCCGCTTGCTATTTACTTTGTTCACTGTTTGAATACAGTTTTAGTGGACATAGATGAAGTCTACACTGGAAGCTGGGGATTTGTTGTACTCTCCAGTGTATTTGCCTTCTGTTTTCTTTCCAACATCTGTGGCTCAAACATCGTTCAGGGAAATGCAGAGAAATGGTCTGATAAGCCTTGAAGCTATGAAACCTAACAAGAACCGTTGATACACATTGGGCATGCCAATATGGTATTGTTCACAGCCTGTATGGCAAGGAAGATTTCATTAGCCTAAATTCAACAAACAGCTGCTTCCTTCATGGACACAGAAATACATCTGTATGAGCTTTATTGATGATTGCTGTGCTGCTTTTGTAAATCCTGCTGGTATTTGTAAAGCCTGTTAATGGAAATTGGTGCATTAAAGTAGATTTTGCTATTCATCAAGGAGGAAAAAAACAGAGGAAAATATTTAGTAGGACATCTTTGCTGACATTCTTAAGATATGCTGGTATTTGTAGTGGTCAGGAGAAGTACTGCTGTGTTAGACAAAGGCTAGAGTTTGGAGGTCTCAGAGACTCAGATCTCGGAGATAAGAAGCTAAGACATCTTCACATTAAGTCTGTAATTTTATTTCAGCTTAGTTTGTAAAAAATGTTGAGCTCTGATGGGTTTGTGCTGGTGTTTAATGCAGTAGATAATACCATTTGCTGGGGTTAACGGCATAGTACATAACATTTTCTGTCTGAGGATAGCTGATGACAGAACACAGCACAGAAATCTTTGTAAGAGCTGCCAGAAATGAATACAACCTTCTTTGCATTAAGAAGCAGCAGGAGGACAGCAGTGCTCAAAATGAAGGTAGCTCTGTGTGTATTGTATTACTACTTGCATGTATCAGTAAGTATACTATCTCTGTGTAGTAATTACAATATGTTACCTTTTTCAATGATTTTCGTTAGGTGCAGCTTAGAGAAGCTGATCCCAAACACAGTGCCAAGAGAAAAAAAGAGGCAGCAGTCATTCAGGGTGATTCTCTTTGAAACTCCAGGAGATCTCGCAGACTCAGGGAAATGAAATTGTACTGACTTCAATGGTTGTGGCTTGCTGTGTCATGGGAAATAAGTTTCTTCAATTTTTCTAATTAGGAATTGCTGAAATCTGTGCTAACCTGCCAAGCTTCTGTACAAGTTTTGTCAAACACAACCATGTAACCACTTGTTTCCTTTTTTAAACTCAAACTAGCAAGAACAGGCTGCTTGGAGACTGAACGATCACACAAGGTTTCAGTGATAAAAGATCAGGGTCTGGAAGCATTTGTAGTTCCGGATGCCTTGGATGCACAGAGGCCTCTACAGGCATTTTTTTTCTTCTGTTATCTCACTTTTCCACTAAAACTAGCTCCCATCAGGCAGTACCATTTTCTCATGCAAGCAGACCTTTTCCTGTCTAAAGAAAAAAACTGCCCTCACTGGAGGGTCAAAATAGAGCTTGGCAGCTGTGTTTCTTTTATTGTCTTTTTTCTTTTTTTTTTTTCTTTTGCTTTTTAATCCACAGGTGATATACAGGAAATAATTATTGTATAATCATGTAGGGATTGTGGATATTTAATGGTCCTGATCTTTTTTATCCTGTTGCATCTGAACAGATTTTTAGCCTCTCCCATTTTTCATGTGTGTGACTCCCTTT